TTGATTTCTTTCTATTTATGCTTCCCATTTTTCCTTGTTTATGCAGGCTGCCAGGGAAACAGGTGCACTAAAAGAAGCGAAGGATAAGCTTGAGAAGAACGTGGAGGAACTTACATGGCGTTTGCAGCTGGAGAAACGTTTAAGGGTAACACTTTTATTCTGCAGATAGATAGTATTTGATAGAAAACTGATAAACAAGAAACATGATTGTTGTACTGGAAGTTGACAGATTATGTCACATTGTAGAAAGCATTATGCTAATTCACACCCTGTGTCATGTGTAACAACAAGCAATAATGTATCTCGATCTTGTAACATGTTCAACATTAACATTCTTGAATTATATTTGTTTTAAGTCTTTTGAAATCTGCATAGATTATATTTTATTCTATTCTTCTTAATGGATATTTGTTAATGGAAAAAGCCTTGAAACCATGTCTGCAGACTGACTTAGAAGAAGCCAAAGCTCAGGAGGTAGGAAAACTGCAAAACTTACTGCAAGAAATGCAGAAAACAATCGATGAAACCAATGCATTGCTTGTTAAAGAACGAGAGGCTGCAAAGAAAGCCATTGAAGAAGCGCCTCCTGTTATTCAAGAGAAAGAGGTTTTAGTTGAAGATACCAAGAGAGTTGAATCTCTAACCGCAGAAGTCAACAGCCTGAAGGTATAAAGGTCTATGGTTAACGCTTATTTCCTTTTGATGAAACAAGTGAGTAATACGAAGTAAACAATTTTGTTCCAAACAGAATGCATCTTCACATAATTCAACAAGAGTTTCTCCTTACCATTGTAATATGGTTTTATGATAGGAAAAAGTTCACAGTTGGATACTCAAGGTAAACAGATATTTAGACTGATCATTAATGTCAGCGGGAAATATCCCAGAGAAAGAATTCCATGGGGAGACATCAGAAATGTAGTTTTAAGTTGATAAAATTTTGACTATAGAATTGCTTCGTAATCTTAACAAAAAGGGTGAGAGAAGCTGAAACTTTGAAATTACATACTACTTTGCTTTATGACTGAAATTGTCAAAAAAATTCAGGATGTGGTAGAACCCCCTTAAATTTGTAAATCATCTATTAGCCAATCACAAATATATTAGTCCTATACAAGGTTCAGAATAGTTCTTATCATCTTTGTATAAGTTGGCAGTTGTTCATGATTAGCTTGTGATCTTCACGTTGCGGTGTTATTTCCCACAGGCCTCATTAGAGTCGGAAAAACAAAGAGCTGATGATGCAGAAGGAAAATACAATGAAATCCAAAAGTCAAGTGAAGAAAGACAAAAAAAGCTGGAGGAGACAGAAGAAAAAGTTCAACAACTCCAGGAAATATTGAGAGGGTAGCGCATGAAGAATAATTTGCCTTACTAGTTTAGTGTAAATGGTCGTGTTTTATGTCAAGATTCTAGAACATATAATGCATGAGTTTTATACTGTTGAAGTTCTTGCTCACGTCCATATCACCACATTAAACTCTTGCTAATGTGTTTACTTGAAATCAGGTTAGAAGAGAAGCTCACTAATCTAGAATCAGAGAATCAAGTACTACGGCAACAGGCTGTATCTATGGCTCCCAATAAGTTCTTTTCAGGACGCTCAAGATCAATTTTGCAGGTATTTTGAATAATGAGCTTGTTCATAATTTGCAATTGACTTTTATTGTTTCAGAGGATTGAGGAGATTTACCTGCTGTCTAATGACTGGCAGAGAGGTTCTGAGAGTGGTCATCTAGAAGCAAGGTCACCCCTGGTGAGTGAAGTGCTTACAACTTTACACCATTATCACTATGAAAAGGAGTAAAAAAAAATAATATAAAACCCTCAGTCTACATTAGATATATAGGTGTTCCTTGCTGTCTAAATTCTTTTGTTGATTAATGTATTGTAACAGGACTTTCACAGCGCCTCAATAAACCATAGGGACACTACTGAACTGGAGGGGAAACCTCAAAAATCACTAAATGAGAAACAACAGGAAAACCAGGAGTTACTCATTCGATGTGTTGCACAACATTTGGGCTTTGCAGGGAACAGACCTATTGCAGCCTGTATCATATATAAATGCCTTTTGCAGTGGAGATCATTTGAAGTTGAGAGAACTAGTGTCTTTGATCGGATCATTCAGACTATAGGCCATGCTATTGAGGTTGAAATATCAACTTTTACATGCTAACGTTTTTAAAAAGTTCTTATTAGAAACCTCATAATCTTGAACTGATTGTTGGCATTTGAATTTCAGACCCAGCATAACAATCATATCTTAGCCTATTGGTTATCCAATGCTTCCACACTTCTCTTGCTACTCCAGCGCACATTGAAAGCTAGTGGTGCTGCTGGAATGACTCCACAACACCGTCGATCATCATCAGCTACCTTGTTTGGGAGAATGACCCAAGTAAAAACTTGCTCATTAATGTCAAGTCATGCCATTCAGGAAATTTCATTTCTGTAATTAATCCATGTGATGCTGTTATTTTCTTAAAGAGTTTCCGCGATGCTCCACAAGGTGCCAATCTCTCCTTAATTAATGGAGGCATCAATAGTGGGCTGGAGACTTTGCGGCAAGTTGAAGCCAAGTACCCGGCTTTGCTTTTTAAGCAGCAGCTTGCAGCATATGTGGAAAAGATATATGGAATGATCAGAGATAATCTGAAGAAAGAAATTTCACCATTGCTTGGATTGTGCATCCAGGTAATTATATCTGAGACTAAATGAAGGCAGTAATCAGAAGAAAAAACCAGAACTATGAAGTGGAACCATGGAGTTTTGTATTATATTTCCTCATTAAGCTACTTTTATGACTCGTATGGATACAATGATATAGGCACCAAGAACATCCAGAGCAAGCTTAGTCAAGGGAGCATCACGATCATTTGCTAACACTGCAGCACAGCAGGCTTTGATTGCTCATTGGCAAGGGATTTTGAAGAGCCTTGGAAACTTCCTGAACATGTTGAAAGCAAATTATGTTAGTTACATATTCTAATTTTCCCATTTTGTTCAAATCTATAATTTCTGTGTTTTCTGCATACGCTTACTCTCACATTCCGAATTGAACTTAGTTCTTCTGATCAGTCTTCAGGTTAGGTGTGATAAGTTAGGAAGGAGGGGAAAGAGTAAAAGTTCTACCATTCGCTATGTATGTTTGGATGCCTTTTCCCTTAGGATTAATGTTGTTTAATTCCTTTACAGGTACCTCCATTCTTAGTCCGGAAGGTGTTTACACAAATATTCTCATTCATCAATGTTCAACTATTCAACAGGTAAGAGTCCATGCTACTATTTAGTGTTTTATACTTACTTTTCTGCTATATGCAGAAAAATTTTCATTTGGCATTTGAATACACTATTCTATTGCAGCCTTTTGTTGAGGAGAGAATGCTGTTCATTCAGTAACGGTGAATATGTTAAAGCTGGATTGGCTGAGTTGGAACACTGGTGTTACAAGGCAACCAATGAGGTACCTTTGACTGGCTCGGTGCCTCCCAGTTCACTTTCTGGTTCTAGGATATGCACTTACAAAATTTAAAAGGTATATAAATGCAGTATGCAGGTTCAGCTTGGGATGAGCTCAAGCATATCAGGCAGGCCATTGGTTTTCTAGTATGTTCCCATTCTTGTAACACTGTCTATCTGTCCTGCTATTACATGTTATGACAGTCTGAAATACAAGAAGCAGTGCCCTAATATCAATGGTGCTCTGTTTATGATCTAGGTAATGCACCAAAAACCTAAGAAAACACTAAATGAAATAAGCCACGATCTTTGTCCGGTGAGTAATACAAACATAACATAAAATGGGATATACTTATCACTAGTTTCCAAATCTTCCCCGGATCTCAAGTCTCAAACAACTTCGTTTTCCAATTTGCAGGTCCTGAGCATACAGCAGCTGTATCGTATCAGTACAATGTATTGGGATGACAAGTATGGCACGCATAGTGTGTCTCCAGATGTAAGTTTAAACAGATTCAGTGTCTCAAACTAGATTAAAGAACTGATCTTAACGAACTTTCCTCGTTTATCTCCATCCAGGTAATAGCCAATATAAGAGCGTTGATGACAGAAGATTCCAACAATGCAGTTAGTAATTCCTTCCTGCTGGATGATGATTCAAGGTTAGCAGTTACATTCCACTAATGTTTTGCCATTGTCTATTTCAATTGAAAACATTACCTGGAATAATCTGACCTTATTCTTACACTGACTTTCCCACAACTCTTTCCATTTTACAGCATTCCATTTTCAGTTGATGAGCTATCAAAGTCAATGGAACAAATAGACATTGCTGACATTGAACCACCACCACTGATTCGTGAGAACTCAGGCTTTAGCTTCTTGTTGCCACGTTCAGATTAATCGATTTTGATTCCTGCAATGGGTTGATTCTCTATGTCAATCTCTCCCTCTCCTTCCAAGATGTAGATTCAACTGTCAAAATTTTTGCATATGTTGTATAATTAGCTGACTCTTTTTATCAATGAAAAATAATTAAAGCAATTTTGTTCTCAGTTTCTCTAAACATTTTCTTCATTCTATTCTTTTCCATGAATAATACTGTATCAGTGATTAATGCATAACTTCGAATAAATACATATATCATTTCAAGTCATCAAAAACTTTATTAAATACGATTAATGACGGATTAAATCGGGATGGCTTCAACTCAGATTCAATTTTTAAAAATTTTTATTTGATTTTGATCCAATATGGTAATGATTTATTATTTTATATTGAATTTCGATGTATATATATATATATTTCACATTTGATTAAAAATTAATTTAATAATTTTAATTTAATATAATATTTATAAAAATATTATTTTCCAATATAAATTACTTTTAATTATATATAAATACAATATTTTTATTAAATTAATATTTTAAATTAAAATATATTACATAATAATTTTATTATATAAGTATAAAATTAAATAAATAACAAAATATATTCTTTTAAACTGGTAACGACGTCGTTTGTCTTATATTCCCTACTGCTGCTTCAAGCTTTGCTCCAGATTCCTGAAACTAGAGTTTTGTTTGGTTTTTTCAATCGGTGTGTGAATTGGACAGAGAAAAACTTCAAAAGCAAATTGCTTGAAATTCAAGATGGCAACTTTCATCAATTTCAAAGCACTCGTCCAGTTACTGTTATTACCTTGTTTGCTTCTCTGCAGTTCGATCGCATACAATTCTTCTTCTGTCAAAGCCACTATGCATACTAACAACTGGGCTGTCTTAGTTTGCACCTCTCGTTTCTGGTAATGAATCAAACATAAACCTCAATTTGTACCACTTGTGTTTTGTTCTATATTTCCCTGATTTTTTTAATTGAGTTTTAGGTCTAATGACCCATGTTGTTTTTTGGGGATAATTAAGATAACCCATCTTTTGTTTTGTCTTAATTTTTTTGTTTGATTTGATTGCTAGCTACATTTATTTGACATTATTCTGAATTTGGGAGAAAGACTGGAGTTTTCTTCTTAGATGCTAATTTGATATTTATTCATTCGATTATTTGAGCTCGGTAACTTTGTAGTTTTATAATGTCATTGATGAGTTTGATATTATGAGATTCTGCCTCGCTTTGACTTATAAAGAAACTGCTTTGTCTTTTGATATTAGCTTAGTTTCTTTGCTTAATTCTTTTGACGCCTCTCACAAGATGGTAATGATGAATCAACTGACTGTCAGCTTTCCTATTTTCTTAATTAGAAGTTTTTGGCTATCAGGTCTTCTATTTGTTTGTGCGGGGGATGTATCACCCATTTGATGATTTGAGGGATAATAGAGATTTCATCAAATGCTTTTTTACTTCTTGTTCATCAATGCAATTGAAATGTTAAAAATGCCTTGGAAATACATGCAAGTTCCAAATGTGTTAATGGTGGTGATCATACATAAAATTTTCTCTTTTCTTAGCTTTGGATCTTCTGCACCAAAGAACTTTGCAGATGTTTATATGAGACATATGCTATCTCTTTAGTTACTGTCTCTTACCATTATTTAGTTGTGTAACAGAGAAGCCAAGTTAGAGCGAGGTCACGCAATACTTTTTTTTTAACTGTCCCCTTTCTTATTGTATTTCGTTTGTTAAAATGTAAAATGAGTTAATCTTGTTATAATTTGAAGTCAAGCTTGAGTATGTACATTGCACAATATAAAGTCTTGAAATTTTGCAATATTTTCAATTGATTTAATTTTGCAATTTTTCTCATTCAGGTTTAATTATCGACATATGGCCAACACCTTATCATTGTATAGGTAACCAAGCAGCTGCCTTATTTTTGTTTTTCTTCTGGTATTATTTGAATTTTTCTTGTTAATATTTTCCTTAACTTGATTTCCAGGACAGTTAAGCGGCTAGGAATACCTGATGAGAGGATAATACTCATGCTTGCAGATGACATGGCTTGCAACACTAGAAACAAGTATCCTGCTCAAGTTTTCAACAATGAGAACCATAGGCTTAACCTCTATGGAGATAATGTTGAGGTTAGTTTTCTGTCACCACTGATGTATTTGGCTCTTTTGGGGGTGAGCCTCATAGTCTGGTCTGGCCTAATTGCAATATTATATTGTGTGAAACGAAAATCTGAGATAATTTTTTTGTACTATGCATAGTTTGATGCCAACTATACTGAGTGAGGAGATTGAACTCTTTTTATATTTATTCATATGGTAATTATGGACCATGAATTATTGTACCCAACTTTGATTATATTAGGTGTTCCATTAGGTACATATTGTTGCTTGCAGTAACTTGTGCTTGAAGGGATTTTTTTTATTAGTGTTATTTTGACTAATCCTAATTTATCTGAATTGCAATCACTCAGGTAGATTACCGAGGTTATGAAGTAACAGTGGAAAACTTTTTGCGTGTTTTAACTGGACGTCATGAGACTGCTGTCCCAAGATCAAAGCGTCTTTTGAGTGATGAAGGAAGTCACATTCTTTTATACATGACAGGGCATGGAGGAGATGAATTTTTAAAGTTTCAAGACTCAGAGGAACTACAGAGTCATGATTTAGCTGATGCTGTAAAACAGATGAAAGAAAAGCATAGGTGAGAACATTACTCTTATGGCTCCAGCCTTTGACTTGTTTCAGAATAAAGCTATAGAATTGGAAGTTGTATTGCTTTTGGAGATTATGGTGAAATGTAATTCTCCCAGATTCCTTGGAACTCTATAACAAATTTTCACTTGACTTGAATATTTAAGTGGAGGGTATATAAGTACTAGAATTTGCCTTTTCCTGTGAAGTAGGAACCTTATTTCAAGTTTTGCTTAATATGTACCTTGCTGATGGTCTATAGTTGTGATTGCCATGTAAAAATGGACGGGTACTGCTGATGATGCTGCAAATTCAGATTTAAGGAGTTGCTAATAATGGTGGACACTTGTCAAGCGGCCACCCTCTTCAATCAGGTTTTTATCTGCTTCAAATAGAGCTTTACTTCTCCAAATATTACATTATTCAATTTTTAGCTATAAATTTATGCATTTCTGATAGGAATATTGATCATTAATCATTTATTTATGTGGAAAATGTGTATATTAGTCAAAAGATTAGATTTTCTTCTGAGGAACTTCAGATAGATTTATTGCGCTATTGGTGCTGATTCATTATCGTCATTTTACTCCATGGAATCATTGTTTATTCCCCCTCATGACCAATATTAACATATACATTTTACATTGCTGATACATCTTTGGAAAATTTTGTGAGCATTATGTTTAATCTATTCTAACTATTGCCTTTGGGACATGCCCCTTTGCATGTTTCATCTGGTAACCGATATTTTTGATTTGGTAGAATTCTGGACTGTTTTGGTTTGCTTACAGATGTGACATTCTGAAAATTATAACAATGTTTTTAGGAATTAAAAATGTACTTTATCTGATAACTGATCTGATACTAAATTGAAGATCTTTGCTCTCTATTTTTGCAGCTTCAATCCCCTGGTGTTTTGGCTATTGGAAGTAGCATGAAAGGAGAGAACTCATACTCACATCACTTGGATTCTGATGTAAGTGACAGGAAATTGTTTTATCATTTCTTAGCAGTTTAGCACCAGCACCCTTTAAATAGCATGTTCCAAAAGAAAAATGTCCCATGCATGAATGTATCTATTGCGTAAGTGGTATTGGGTTTTCGGTAGTACCTGTGTTCCTGGTTATAGGGTACCATGGGTAGACACTTGTTCTCATTCTTATTCAGTTGTTGATTTGATACAGGTCGGTGTATCAGTTGTTGATCGTTTCACGTATTATACCCTTGCATTTTTTGAGAGGCTAAATATATACGATAATGCTTCATTGAGCAGGTACATCAGCTTAGGAATTTATGATAACAAGATGGTTGTTTTTGCTTCCCCAGTGAAGTGTCTCTGAATCCTTAATGAGCTTTTCTTGTCAATTATTTGTTATTTTATTTTTTTTAGCATAGAAAAACCCTCTCAGATTGTAGTGTTCTTTTGTCAATTGAAGTTTTTGCTCCTCATCTGTTTAAGTTGGCTTTTCTTTGACATTTATGGCACTTCCTCAAAGCATTTTATCTCTAACAACTAAGCTCTGCACCTTGGACGTTTTTGGTTACTTTGCAGTCTCTTTAGTTCTTATAATCCAAGTACGTTGATGTCAACTGCATATTACCGGAGAGATCTATACCAACGGCGTTTGGAGGAGGTATGAATGGAGGTCTCAAATTTGTTTTTAAAGTTAATCTTCTTCCTCTATATGTCTTGAATTCTTGTATTTTGTGCTTCTCTAATATCCTTGTGAGGAAGCTTTCAAGTATATATGCCTATTCCTGGTAACTAGCTTTTCGTTTCCAGCTAGCTATATGCTTTTGTGATGAATCTAGTGTTGCATTCTGAGAGCAGTATGCAAAATTTCAAACTTCACCAATCAAATCTGCACTGTTTGCTACTTGTATTATTGCTAGTATTGTTTTTAATCATTGAAATTTCTTAGTTCCTTTTATCATATGATGAACTGCTATTTGTAATACCTAACATTTGAAGCAACCTGTAACCAAGCTGCTTTCTCTCTAGGTACCTGTTACAAATTTCTTTGGCTCGGTCATGGAAACAATACATACTGATGCAGCCTACAAGGCCCTTTCAAGGAAGATTTCTGACAGGTCTGAGTCGCAAATATCATTGGATCAATCAATTCACCGTGAGGAGAGAAGAATGTTGATAAATATAAATGTTTGCGATGAGATTCACGACGTAAGCACAGAGGTGATTTGTTTTTACCTTCCCTTTTGTAGTTATCTGTTTGCTTTGATTTATGTATAGCTGAGCTTACAATAGGAAAACACAACTGTTGCAGGGTCAAGAGGACGATTCTAAATGTCCATGGAGTGCTTTCTATCGCAAGATGCAAAAAATTGAAAATGTTGATTCCTTAGTGAACTATGGCTTGGTAGCGATGCTTCCTTTTTTGGTGTTTTCGACATGGCTGTTTCACTGAACTTTCTCATTAGACATTCCAACAAAGCATGTTTCTCTTAAACTTTATTTGCCACTTTTGATAAATTCATTCGATTCCTTTTCTTTGACACATGGTTTTTTTTATTCTATAGTGAAAAGGCATAATAATAAACGTAATTATCCAAAGCAACCCCAAGCATTGTAATACACCATGTCATGAAAATCTAAGGAATTTAAACAAATAGAAAAAGAAACGAATTTTATTATACTCGAGAGTCCGAAATAAAAGGGCGCATGGTACATGGAGAACAATCAATTTGCACTTATTGAAAATACACTGAAAATGGGCTGGGCCTGAAACTCTTGAAGAACCATTGGAGTAGAGGTCCAAAGGCCTAACTTTTTTTTGTAAAGAAACTCAGAAACCGACATAAGTGGCAACTGAACAAGACCGAACTATAACTTAAATCCTTTAGAAGAAAAAACCAACCGAGACCACATAGGAGGGGCTCCAGACGAAGAACAAGAAAGACAACTGAAGAAGATAATGATGAGAAATAAAGAGGTACAGTTTTTCCATTTAAATGCCAGTTACAATGTAATCTACTTCCAGTTTCATAGTTGCTTATCTGTTTTTTTTCGCATGGAACACATTACTCCTACATTTTTGTTACAAAACATTAAAAGCCCAGATTTTGGATTTAGGAAAAAGAAGCAAAGAAAGAAGCATTTAGGAAGTACCTTGAGTCCAGTGGAGTTCTTGATGCTCTCATCAAAGGTTTTTTCTCTGCTCTTTTTCTTTCTTTCTCGTGAATCTTGATGTGGGAATTTGATTCATTTCATTTCTTTACCTGTGTAGTTTTGGTTGCATTGTATGAACAAAATGAAAAGCCATCCTCAGCCCTTGAGTAAGTTTCATAATTCTATGCCCCTTTGTTCAGATATATAGTCCAATTGTATAGGCTACTGATTCACTCAATTCAGTTTCAGAACAAGGCAGAAATGACCTTGTTGTATTTTTCTCTTTCAATCTCCTGTAATTTCTTTGGGGGTTGTTAGTTTTAGCAGAAACATAATTATCTTTGGACTCTATTTGTGTAACCCAGATCTTACAATCTTGCCATTTCTTCATCTGGTATTTCACATTTTTCCCAAATTGGTATGTCTTATTATCTTTACTTCAGCTCAATGGAATCAATGGGATCAGGAGTAAAGTACAAGTGCTCTATTTGATTTTCCAATTGTTTAATGTCAAGCAAGAATTCAGTATAAAAAAAAGTGCAAATGAAATCTAAACGTCTCAAATTACAATAATCTGTTTCAATTTTACATTATGTCACTATTCCCATTCTTAGAACTATCTAAAGGGTTTACAGTGTGGCATATTGATTGTTGATGTTATCATTGATACTGGTCCTTGTCAAGACTCTAGCAGATGGCTTGTAGTTTTTTTTTTTGCCTGTAAATGACTTATGGTTCATGCTCGTTTATGTTCATTTTGAGGAATGGTGAGATAATTTTTTTTCCTGATAGGTTTGTTCAACAAAAATTAGGTGGTCCAACTGTGTCTGAATATGAAAAGCTACAATCTGAGATATCCGATTTGCAAACAAAATATAACGAGCTCTTGATCAAGCATGAAGAGATCTGCAATGAGGTATGATTTGATTTATTTGGAAAGATAGAATTCTGCAATGAATATGTCAAATATTATTTTAAAATTTTTAAAAAATAAACAATATAATAGGTGCGAGTTTTGCAAGATTTTCTATTATTTTCACATGCCTCTTCTAAATGAAGCTAGAATTTTTGGGGGTTTTTTTTTTTTTATCATTGATATCTCTTTCAAAGCAAAAGCAAATATCAAAAGTACTACATTCTATTTTATGCTTTTGATTCATGGCAAAACAAAAGTCAGTCACATTTTGGAAATCAAAAGGCAAAAAACAACGCATTGTTTCTCATCTTGTTTGACACTTCCGTCATGTTTCAAGTAATTCAGCCTATTATTCATTGAATTTTTGATGTTTTACCTTCCCCGGTTGAAATGTTCTCCTGTGGTTGCATTTCTATTTGCATTATCCTAATACTTAATTATACCTTTCCTAGTCTGTCTTCACGGCTGGCATGGATAATCCAAGTTTATTGTTCTTTTGCCTGTAATGACTATAATTTGATCTATTAGGAAGCTACTGATTCTTTTACGAAGGACATCTTCCCAAACCTTCCTCCTTTAATTTCATATCATCATTATGGGGACAAAATAGTAGGTATCTTTACTTTGAGATAAGCATCTTGAAGTCGTTTTCGCCTTCCTTTTGCAACTACAAACTTCCATGCTTGTCAACAGATTTAGTTAATTAGATTATCATGTGTAGCATAGCCAGTTACCCTAAAATCTCAAAAGTTTACACCTTGAAATTTGTCCGGATGATCTGGCTTCCTTATGTTTTTTATAGTTCTAACTTGTACACCCCACTTTTCTCCGGATCAAATTCTTCACTGCAAGTTATCTGAGTTCTATTAACGATGCAGTTAGAGGAACTTAAGAATCTGAACACTTCCCCATCTAGAAAAGATGCTAGTACTGATGGAGAGGTGCTGAAGGATGAGGTCTGATCTGAGCATACGAAGAAGAACTCATGTTCTGTTACAAGAATGTTGAATGTTGTCCATAGGAACCAGTTCTTCTAGGTGTTGTACACTTTATGTTAGTAATGTACAAGGTTAATGACTCATTGACTCTATCTATTTGTTGTGTTAATGTCAGTAAAATATTAGTTGATTCCAACTTCTGTTGTATTTTGGATGATGGTTTTTCAAGGGATGAGGACATTTATGGAAAGGCCTAATTGTTGATCGGATCAACCTCTGGCTAACTTTGGTGGCGAACTGCCATGTCTGGTGCCTACCGGTCACCGGCACTGACCAGTGATCAGTGTTTAAGAAGGAAGGTAAAGGATAAGGAAAGGGAATGGAAAGAGGAGAAAAAAAAAAAAGAAATTGGTTAGGGACTCAATTATAATACAATAAAAGGATAAGTGCTCGATTAAAAATTTTAGAATAGTACAAAGGCTTTTCAGCCAATTTACCTGTTTCTTTTTAACATTTTTAATTGTCATATCAAATACTAATTCATATGTTTTTGAATAAATTTCTATCACCATCTCTATGGGCTTAATTGTAACAATGAGGATTAAAATGTATGAAAATAACAAATACAAAATTTAATCATACCAAATAAAAGTTAAAAGTTCAATAACATAATTTTAATTTTGACAAATACTTGGAAATTAAATCGAGTTGAATCCCTATTTAATTTGACAACAAGGATCTTGGTACTTTTTTTTTTATTTCTTAATAATTTATGATTAATATTGAATTTATATTAATATCGACAATTAAATATCTATTGAATATTAGTTCAAATAGTATGCTAGTTGTTATAATTTTTGAAGGTTGTAAATTAAAGAAGATTTATAAGTGTAATGTTTTATTTACATAAATTAAAAGTTCAAGGATTTATGATAAATTAAAAATTAAAAAATATGTATTTTTAATTATGAGATAAACAAAAGATCATGTAAAATTATTTTAACTCATGAAATTTAAAAATCCTACCACTATCAGGTATAAAATAAGAAAAATTATTTAATATGTTATTAGTGAAACTTTTTAATTTTACATGTAGGATTAAAAAATTGATATATTTTATTTTTAATTAATTAATTTTTTTAATATACATTAAAAATATATATCATTCTATTAACTTGATTTACAAATTTTATAAAATTTACATTCAGAATATTTGATAATTTCTCATAAAATAATTTTTTTATTTAATTTCAATTTTAAATTATTTTATGAACTCAATTTTCAATCTTAAAAAGTTCATACAATAAATAAAAATAAAAATAATAATCTAATCAAATCCAAACCTGGGTATTTGGCTATCCGGGGTCAGGGGCCAAATTATCCAAATGAAGGATAAAAACAAATAGATTCCAGAATCTAAATATTTTCAGTCCCAAACATACAAACAAACAAATAAAAAAAAAAAAGTTAAAACCACGAAAGCAAAATAAACTAATACGTTTATCAAGATATCTTTCAACAGTCAAACATTAAAAGTCAAACATCTCACCTCTCAACCCTCATCCGACGGTCCAGATGCCACGACCCCAAATTAAAAATCCCTAAAAATAAAACCAAAATCAGAAAACAAATTATAATCTAAAAAATAAAAAATAAAAAAAATCTGCAAAGTTTTTCCTCTTTCTCTCTCTAAAACCTCAAAAGCCAATGGAACCCAATGAAACCCAACAACACTACTTCACCACTGTGACCTCCACCACTGTAACTACCTCTCCGTCACCGACCAATGGGCTTCTGCCGCCTAATGAAAGTGGAGGGTCCCATCACATGGTGTACCCTCACTCCGTGCCTTCGGCGGTGACGTCGCCCTTGGAGCCTGCTCGGAGGAAGAGAGGGAGGCCTAGGAAGTATGGCACCCCGGAACAGGCCTTGGCTGCTAAGAAAATGGCGTCGTCGAGCTCGAAAGAGCGGAGAGAACAGCAGCAGCAGTTGGCTCTTGGTGGCGGCGGTGGTTCGCTTTCTGCCTCTTCTAAGAAGTCTCAGTTGGTTGCTTTAGGTGGGTGCTTTTTTTTATGAAGTTTTGTTACTTTTGGGTACCCTTTTTTTCAATTTGATGGTTTTTGGGGTTTGTTGCAAATTTATTGAAAATTGAGAGGGTTTTTGGTGCATTGTGTGGGAAACCATTGTCTTTGTTTGCTCTCTATTAGGGGGTTTGGAAAAAGAATTCTACGTTTGATACCCTTTTTTGTGAAAATTGAGAGGCTTTTGTTGCAAATTTGTTGGAATTGAGAGGGTTTTTGGTGCATTGCATGTGAAACTCTTGTCTTTGTTTGCTCTGGTTGGATTTCTGATAAAAGATTCTTCTTTTTGGTACCTATTCGTGAATTTGATGGTTTTTGGGTGTCTTGTTGCAAATTTGTGGAAATTGAGATTTGAGAGCGTTTTGGGTGCAATGTTTATGAACATTGCCTTTGTTTGCTCCGTGTTGGATTTTTTTTTTTTTTTTTGTAAAATATTTTCCTACATTCTGGTGTCCTTTTGTGAGTTTGATGATTTCTTGGGAGCTTGTTGCAAATTTGTCCAAATCGAGAAGGTTTTTGATGCTTTTATCATGATTCGTTGCCTTTATTTGGTTGTTTTGAATGACCACCTTGCCCTCATACGGTTTTGTTTTGGGTAGTTTAATCAAATTATATGGAATATTTAGTTTATAGTTTACCTTTAGGCAATCAATGTGGTCTTGTGCATATATCTCATTTGACCAATAAATTTTGTTCCTGCTTTTGTCGTCAAATTTTGGAATTTATTTATTGTATTCATGCAGGTCTTTGATTTCAGAGGCTTAGGTTGTAAAATTAGTGATTTTGTGATGCTTTTGCTGCACTATTTGTAGAACCTTCTTTTGCGGGAAGGAAAAAAATAAAACTTTAATCCATGTGGAGGACGTTGTTTTAATCTATAGTAGTTTTAGTTCATTCCTCAGTATTCTTTATTTTGTTCCTGTACGAAGAACTTTTATTGTTTTAAGTGCAAATCCAACTTGCATGGTTGCATTGATTCATTTTCCAAGTTCAATTGGTTTGCTTTTAGCTAGAAGATGATATATCTACATTGTTCTGTGTAGCTTTGATTTCATAACCAATATCTGAGCCAAACACAGTTGACCAATTTATATTGTCCTGCTTTTGTTGTCAAAATTTGGAATTTATGAAGTTTTTATTTATTTATTATATTCATGAAGGTCTTTGATTCCAGAGGCTCAGGTTGTAAATTAGTGATCTTCTGATGGTTTTGCTGCACTTTTGGTAGAACCTTCATTTGCAGGAGGGAAAAAATTAAAACTTTAATCCATGTGGATGACATTGTTGCATTATTTACAAACCTGTTTATAGTAGTAGTTTTTGTTAGTTCATTCCTCAGTATTCCCTTTTTTTTTGTTCCTCTGCAAAGGGCTTTTATTGTTTTAAGTTCAAATTGCATTGATTCATTTTCAAAGTTCAACTGTTTGCTTTTAGCTAGAAGATGCTATATCTACATGGTTCTGTGTAACTTTGATTTCATAACCAAAATCCAAGCCAAACACAGTTGAGTTGTGTGCTGTACATGTTGATTGATATTTAGTGGTAGTGGATAGTGCTCTAAACTGATCCGACTGGTGATAGAAGAATATATAAATCATGCACTCAAATTCTTTAATTAGATACTTAATTCTTTCTCTTGCTTCCCTCTAATTGATGCAGGCAATGCCGGTCAAGGTTTTACTCCACATGTTGTCAATGTAGTTGCAGGAGAGGTATGGTGCTCATTAATGTTGGAAGCTTTTATTATTACTTTAGATATGCATTGACATCAGTATCCTTGAGAAACAGATATTCTCACATATCAATTCTGATCCTTGTAAATTTATGTAATCTGTTGAAATATGTTTCTGCATGGTCCAATTGTGTTTTAAAAAGCTGTGCTCTCCGATTTTGTTAAAAGAAAAGTTGGCAGAGTAGTTTGACCTTTTGTCGTATCTTAAAGAAAGGTTTTGAGGCATGGTTCAGTTATATAGATTGTTCCATTGATTATGCCTCATCTATAGATAATAATTTATTTTATAATTGGAATAGCAGTGCTTTAGTAGTGGACAAAATTGTTAAATGAAGAGAAGTTGGAAAGTCATCAATGGCAAAAAACTGTAAATGAGAAAGCTTAGATTGTAACTTTCTATTTCGGATATAAAATCCTTAAAATGTTCAAGATTGTAATGTTTCCATTACAAACAATTGAGGCCAAGATAGCCATTGTGGAAAGTTTCCTGAATCATGAGGATATTTGTGATATTTCCATTTTTTTTTTTTTATTTTAATTTCCCTGTTTGTAGTTGAGGCTGGTTACAAGAAATGGCAGCTAAGGCATTTATCATATGCAATAGTTTGACAGCATTATTTATTTCTGTTTCCACTTTTTGCATCAATTTGCGGAATCTTAACCCTTTAGAAAAGAATTTATGAATCCTTTTCCATTGTTGTCTAAGAGAAATTCTCTATTTATGAGAAGATACTAGCCTTTTGATCTAGCATGCCTCCATTAACTAGAGTTGATAATTGGTTATCTCAAGAAGAGTTGAAAGAAGGGATTCAGTCCTTTCAGCTCTATCTCTCTCTCGGGAATGATTGGACAGGAAGCATCTATGGGTATCTTCACTGATATGATTCAACACAAAAGATAATTTGTTGTGGTTACATTAAGTTCTCAGCTGTCAGTTTTTGACAAGTTGAATTATGCCATATCTGTTTTCTTTTCCTTGATCTTTTAGCTGATAATGGGGTGTTGGTGCACATTCCATAATCCACCTTTGTCAAAGAATTCCTTATCTATTTGTGCCCTCTTGGGTATTATAGGTGTTCAATGTAGTATGCCATGAGAGTAGTTTTTTATGTTAATTTTTATGAATTACATTTACAACAGTCTTGAGTCATGTAATGTTATATCAACTGTGCTAGATCAAGATGCAATATTGTTTCTATATGTAAATGAAGTTTTTTTGTCCTTCTCCACATGATATAGGATGTAAGCCAAAAATTAATGCTGTTCATGCAACAAAGCAAGCGTGAAATATGTATTTTGTCTGCATCTGGTACGATCTCAAATGCATCTCTCCGCCAGCCTGCAACATCAGGCGGTATCATTGCATATGAGGTAACAACTTCCTTTTCCCCGTTTGTTATAATTATTTCATATCAAGATATCTCCATGTTTATATATCCTGTAATCCTTAAATTGGATCTGCATTTTTAAAGGAATAAAAGTATACATATAAAAGAATGAATCAAGTTTTGTTGGACAAACCTACATTACTTCTAATAGCTGGGAGAGGATTTAGTGTCTTCTAAAAAAAGGTTTAGAAAATTTGTTGTTTCTTGTAAATAGATAATAAAGTTTGCAAGGAAAACAAGGATGGCTGGGTTTGTTACTTAATACAAAGTAAATGAGGGGTTTAAAGAAAGGTATATAAATTCAATCATAATTGGAAGCTTATTCCTGTGCTTACTTAGGAAACTAGTCCAGTTGTTTTGGGTTGCTCATAACCTAATAATTCTCCCAATTAAGGAAAAGACAAATTTTCCAAGTAGTTAGAATCTGTTGTTTTCATCAGCTGATTGTAAGCATGTTTACAATTTCAAATGTTGTACACACCTTAGCTATGCCATGACTATTGAGTAATGAAAATCAGAGAGGTAGCTATTGATATTATGCTACTCTTAGTATCAGGTAAATATTTCCAGGTATGGGATATGAAAACAATCTATTATGAAGCCATTTGCATGTCCATATGCCAAAATGCGTATATCCTTGCCTCAAAATTAGTTTACTTTCCCTCTTTATCAATGTTCTCATCTTTGAGAGAACTTCATGAAAGTTGCAAATTATTTGCCTATAATATGCTTATTTAGTACTGTCAGAATATGATTCTTTCCTGGGTGATATGATATTAGGGCCGATTTGAGATCATTTCACTCTCTGGATCTTATGTTCGGACTGAAACTGGAGGGAGGACTGGTGGGCTCAGTGTATGTCTATCAAGTGCAGATGGCCAGATTATTGGAGGAGGAGTTGGTGGACCTCTAAAGGCTGCCGGCCCAGTTCAGGTATCAGTATTATTAGTGTTTGATTTAGGGAAGGGGGTGATTGGAACCCTGTTCTTTGAGTAGGGGGATACTTGTATCTACCATTGAGCCAAATGCTCAAGTGCATTATTATTTAAAATATACAGTTGATATAAAGAAAACTCTGGTTAATTACATCATATATGACTTGGGACTCTATATATATGTTGGCACGAGAGCAAGCAAGAAAGAGAGTTGGCGGCTCCTTTTTTTTAAGAAGCTTTAATTGTCTGTTACTTTATGTCGAAGTCATAACGGTTTATTGCATCTACAGGTTATTGTTGGTACATTTATGATTGACAACAAGGATGTTAGTGCTGGTGCAAAAGGTGATGCCTCTGGCAGCAAGTTGCCATCTCCGGTTGGTGGGACTTCAGTATCTAATGTTGGCTTTCGCTCAGCTTTTGAAACTTCAGGGAGAAATTCAATTGGGGGAACTGATGATCATCAAAGTTTCGGAGGAAGTCATTTCATGATGCAACCACAGGGCATGCATGTGGCACCTCGGGCCTCGGATTGGAGGACTGGTCTAGATGATAGAATTGGTTTTGAGTTGACAGGTTAGAGTTTTCCACATGCATATATGCATGCTTAAACAACAAGAAATACTGAAACTAAATCTCTATTGCAGGAAAAACAGGTCATGGAGCTCGTCAATCTCCAGAAAACGGTGACTATGATCAGATGGCAGATTAGATATATGTTTTGCGTAGATATTTAAATCACCACTGTTTTACAAAGAGCGAATAGATGTACAACTCCTTGGCCCTTGCACCTTGCTCCTTTCCCGTAGTGTAATATGATATACCTGTACAGGTCCACCCATTACCCTTTTGTTAGTTGACACTAATTACTGATTAGAATATGCACCATAAGGTAAGGAGATGGCCTTTGAAAATCCTAGTCCTGTGCTTAATTGTTGAAATGCTTTCAACCTATTATTGCTGATAATTTTCTTACTTTGAGTTACATGAATCCTCACAGGTTTAGAGGAGTGGGGGTTGGGGGAGACTAATCATGCAAAACTTGAGTGATAACACATAGCAGTTGTGCATTTAGTCTTGAAATTACTTATTGTTCAAAGCCTTTTAATTAAGTTGTGCTTTTAGTCTTGAAATTAGTGATTGTTCAAAGCCTCTTACTTAAGTTGTGGTTCCCAGGCCTAGGAGATGAGATATTTTAGGTGTGAAAATTAACTTGGAAGTGTGTTATATTTGGCATCTTCATGCACACAAGTCAATCGATGTTGAATGAATAATTATATTTCCATGTTTTTCTCCTTTCCTACTCATTGTGTGATAGATAATGGCCTCTTGTCTTGTCTACTCATTTTGATTTTTCCCCTCACACTGAGCATTTAGTGCATGTGAATAGAATAATTGTGCTTTTGACAGGTTCTTGTAAAAGGGGGGAAAAAAAAGAAAAGAGGATTGTTTCTGAGTAAACAACAAATCTTAAAAGTTGAATGTAGTGCACATTTGGGATTATTTTCTGTTTTGCAGAAGGTAAAATAGTTTGGACTGAACTCTGCCTTTCAACCTTAATATGTCTGAGGTTCCTTTTGGTAGCATGGTGGGAGACTACTCACTGCACCGCGTGGTGTGGTTTTATAATTCAAGGTTTCAATCATAAAACACAGTCGTGATGCAGTGGGAGGGACTCGCCATGCTGCCAAAGGGAACCTTGGGAACCTTAGCGAGTGAAGAACCTTTTGTCTTTCTTGTTTCTTGGTTTGCTTAGCCATTGTTAAAAGCAGATTGCAGCAAGGCCATCCATGAAGCCAGGAGGATTACTTAGCTCCTCAACTTGATTTTGACCATCTTAATAACCCATTTCCTCTTCTTTTATTGGATTAAACTATGCTAACAAGAACATAGAGGATTTTACTTAGTAGTTGATGCATTTATCTCATTATTCAAAAAGTATAATTCTTACCAGCATTACCTAACAATCAATAACCATCCCAGGCCATGTGCAGTTAGCCGCCCTTGACATTTGATTTATTTACGTATGTGGTTTTTGGCATAACATTTTGCTTGGTTTAGAGATTAAGATTCATGAACTTATCCACCGGGGTTATTTTTATATATTTTTTAAGAAAAAAAATCGTAATTTAAAGATAAAAAAATGAATTATAGGTATTATTATCTTAAGTCAAAGATGCCATGTTGATACATAAGGTATAGTAGTATTTTTAATCACCTCTATTTATTTTATGACCAGAATCAAATATTGAAAGAATAAAAATAAAAAATCCAAAAGAAATGTCAATAAAATGTCCAAAGAGTTAGGGAAAGTGGTGCATATCAAATCAAAGTTAATAAAAATTAAATGCTGGTCATAAATAAAGTGTTGGGGATATTTTTAGATCTAAATTAAAAATTCCATGCAAAAGATTTAGATATTGCAAAAAAAAAAGTTTTATATTATCTAAAAAATTAAAAATATCCTCTGGCTCTGCCCCCCGCCCCCACCCAAAAAAAAAGGCCTTGCGCAAGCCACATCAATATCACGTGCGCCACGTGGTTAGTGGTCCTCATTCCTCTGTACTCCTTCACCTTGTTCTGGGTCAACCCGCTAAGTCTCATCAAGTCATCCTCATAACGCCCTCCAATGCTTTTAATGGTCAATATTGCTACGTCGGTGAATCCGTCATAGTGATCTAAACCGTCCGATCAAAACCAATTGGACGGTCAGGACGTAGAACTTTGGCTCCCACACTTTTTTAAAGCCCTTTCGCTTTCTCGGGTTGTGGGTTCTTCTAGGGAGTCACTATTTCCTAGGTAACTTTAAGACTAGTTCTTTTAAATGTGCCCTTCGTTCAAGTCAAGTTTTTGTCAAACATTTCTTTCAATCTAAAGTACCTGATAGAGATGTTTCAATCTCAAACTACCTTCAGTCTCTCTTCCTCTGTTCTTTTAATTTAAACCTTATGAAGGGTCCTCTAAGAAGATTTTTTTTTGCTTATATTGTTACCTTTTTACTAAGCTTTTAGTTGATCTTGTTGAAAAAGAAAAAGTGGGTTGTTTGTTGATTTGATTTGGAAAAAAGTGAAGATTAGGTAGAGTGGGTGGTGGTTATTTTCTCTTGGAAAGTTGAAAAAGATTTGTATTTGTTTTTTGGTGTTGGTTGAGATTGGTGGTGCTTTTTTCTGCCAAAGGTTTGTTCTGATTACCTTTGCTCTTTGATTTCTTGTTTCTCTCTTCAGTTTTTAGATAGATGAAGATAGGTTGATGTTTGATTCTTGATTTGGTTTCCTTGAAGTTTTTGTTATTCAGTTGAAGAAAGATGCAAGTTTTATTAAAGTCATCTCTTTTTCACAATTTCTTTCTTCTTTACCCTTGTTGTTATATGATAAAGTCTTGGAGGGGTATGAAAAATCAATATTTAGTTGCAGGGAATGGATGGAAAGGTTGAATTTTTTGAGTTTAGAGCAGATGGGGTGTTTTAGATCTTGAAATCCAGGAAAAGGACAACTTGCTTAAATAGAAGTGGGTACTTTTATAGATTTCCATTTGTGGCAGATGGGATTTTATTGTCTTTGCAAAGGAATTGGCTCGAGGAAATGAATACTGAAGTTTTTAGCTATAGTCGAGAGAGTTGCCCTTTCTTTATTTAATTGAATAATAAATTTTTATATATTGGCGGTGTGGAAGTTCGACTCTTTACATGTATGGATTGAGCCAGTACTCACCTGAGTGCCAATGTTAAGAGCATTAGCTCTTGGCTTGTTGATTACTTTTTTGGTGATCGTGGTTTCTGCCATTGACAATGAGTTTGCAAATTGTCATTGTGATGATGAGGGCTATTGGAGTATACATAGCATTTTAGAGTGCCAGAAGGTGAGTGATTTCTTCATTGCTGTGGCATATTTTTCTATACCTATTGAACTGCTTTACTTCATTAGTTGCTCGAACGTTCCCTTCAAATGGGTCCTCCTTCAGTTTATAGCCTTTATAGTGCTTTGTGGATTGACTCATCTTCTCAATGGATGGACTTATTATGGTCCCCACTCATTCCAGTTGATGCTATCCCTCACCATTGCCAAATTCCTTACAGCCCTTGTCTCGTGTGCCACTGCAATAACACTTTTAACTCTGATCCCTCTCTTACTCAAAATAAAAGTGAGGGAGCTTTTCTTGAGGCAAAATGTATTTGAATTAGATCAAGAGGTTGGGATAATGAAGAAGAAGAAGGAAGCCAGTTCACACGTTCGAATGTTAACACAGGAAATCAGGAAATCCCTAGATAAACATACCGTATTGTACACCACTTTGGTTGAGCTTTCTAAGACTTTGGATTTGAACAACTGTGCAGTGTGGATGCCAAATGAGAATGGAACACAGATGAATTTGACTCATGAGTTGAAAGCAAGTTCTTCAAGGAGCTTTCACCAATCTATCACGACAAATGATCCTGATGTGGAAGAGATAAAAGAGAGTGAAGGAGTGAGAATCCTGAGACCAGACTCAGCACTTGGGCTTGCTAGTGGTAGTGGATCAGATGAGGCGGGTGCTGTTGCAGCAATCAGGATGCCAATGCTTCAAGGTTATAATTTTAAAGGGGGAACACCTGAATCGGTAGAGACTTGCTATGCCATTCTGGTATTGGTTCTTCCAAGTTCGAACTCAAGGAATTGGAGCTACCCGGAAATGGAGATTATTGAAGTGGTTGCTGATCAGGTAGCTGTAGCTCTATCCCATGCTGCAGTTCTTGAAGAATCTCAGCGAATGAGAGAAAAACTGGGTCAGCAAAATCGTGTGTTGCAGCAGGCAAGAAAGAATGCAATGATGGCCAGCCAAGCAAGGAACTCTTTTCAGAAGGTGATGAGTTATGGTATGAAGAGACCAATGCACTCAATTTTGGGCTTACTTTCAGTGTTTCAAGATGAAAATATGAACTTCAACCAGAAGACACTTGTTGACACATTGGTCAAAACGAGCAGTGTTCTCTCAACTTTGATAAATGATGTGATGGAGATTTCAGCAAAAGATAATGGAAGATTCCTGCTAGATATGGGACCTTTTAGCTTACATTCCATGATCAAAGAAGCTTCTTGCCTTGCCAAGTGTTTCTCTGTCTATAAAGGCTTTGGTTTTGAAGTTGGTGTTCAGAGCTCTTTGCCTGACCAAGTGATTGGTGATGAGAAAAGGGCTTTTCAAGTGATATTGCATATGGTTGGCTATCTACTGGACATCAATAGCGGAGGTGGAACTGTCTTAATGCGGGTTCTATCGGATGTCAGTAGCCAGGAAAACAATGACAAAGTAAATGCGTGGAGATCAAGCACACAAGATAATTACCTGTACTTAAAGATTGAAATTGATATTTGTAGGGACCGTTCTCATGCAGATGCATTAGTCTCAACCAATCATTCTTCTGGTAGGAGGCATAACAATGATGAAATTAAGGAAAGCTTGAATTTCAGTATGTGTAAAAAGCTTGTGCAGGTGAATATCCCAGTTCTATTTCTATTTTCTATTGTCAATTCTATACCTTGGTTTGACTGCTGCATTTCAAATGATAAGTTTGCAGTAACTATACATCCAATTGAAATGAAATACTGCCATTAGTAATAAATTGTTGTGTTGTGAGTGTATGATTGCTGAAACTTCCAAGGCATCTGAAATAATTTCCAGCTATTATACTGCATTTTTAGTGTTGATCCCTTTTATTGGAACATTATTTCTGGACATGAATTGTTCTGTCAAAAACATCTTTCAGTTTTTCTTGCTGTGGATAAAAAGTTATCATTTCTGTATAAAATATGGTAAGACACTGCTTTTAGCCTTTTATTGCTCAAAACTAATGGCTAATGCCATTTGTGCAATTGATGTATAAGCTTTATACTGTAAATATCTGGAGTTGTTTGCCCAGAGCATTTGCAGTTAGTTGCTGGCTTCTTTGGGCTTCCTTCATCTGGTTTAGGTAATTCTGAATATTCTGATTTGCATACAGAAAATCAAGTGAAAACAGCTGCTTAAGCCTTCAAGCTTTCTCTAGAATCAGCTTGCAGAAAAATATTTATATAATGGAGTCTGAATAATACAATTGTGGATATCTTTAGCATTCAAGCATTTTTTTAAGACAAAACTGAGACTCTTATCATGAATACAAAATAGAGCATACATTCCTTGGAGCAATTTCATAATATTGACACCATAAATAGAAAAAAGGGATGCATGCCACAATTGTGCTTTGAAGATCATTCAATGTTTAAATTGTAGATTTTATTGAAATTTTGAAGGGAATTGTTTTTGAGCCCTGCTGGTGCACTTTGAAGCTGTGTTCTAAGTTTAATTTCTCTTCAATTAGAATAAAATGTTTGCTTGTCTCTACATATTGTCCTTTAATCATTCTTTCCTTCTATACAAGTATGATGCATTACCAGTGCGTTGCATGTATTAATGGTATATTATGTGTCTGGTATTTGCAGATGATGCAAGGTAATGTCTGGATATCCACAAGCTCTCTGGGCTTTGCACAGAGTATGACACTTCTTCTCAGGTTTCAAATCCAATCATATATACAAAGAACCATACTTGCACCTGGAAACTCTTCTGAGCAACCAAATTCCAACTCCAGGTTCAGAGGTCTTCGAATTTTACTAGTTGATGATGATGATATAAACAGGACTGTTACCATGAAGCTGCTAGAGAAGCTGGGTTGTGAAGTGACTACTGTTTCTTCTGGATTTGAATGTCTCAGTGCAGTTAGCCATGCTGAAAGTTGTTACAGAATTGTTGTTTTGGATCTCTACATGCCTGAAATGGATGGATTTGAAGTGGCAGTGAGAATCCGTAAATTTCGCAGCCGTAATTGGCCATTGATTATAGCCTTGACAGCTAGTGCTGAGGATCATGTGCGGGAGAGATGCCTACAAATGGGAATGAATGCTGTTATTCAGAAACCAGTTGTATTGCAAGGCATGGCAGATGAGCTTCAAAGAGTTCTGCAACGGGCAGGGGAAGGGATTTAAGGAGGTGCTCCCCTGGGTAGGCTGGAACTCAGATTTGATTCTTGGCCTCCAAGTATGAGGAGGTAGTTGGCAAGGTTTTCTGGCACTGATTACTTATTTCATTTCCTTTGGTGTTTCCAATCAGCTCATTATCACAATCAGTCTCAGCATAGGGATTTTTAACATAGCATTTGCATCATGTCATTCCATGGTATACTACAATATAACCATTAAATTTTGCTAACCATTTGCTCATTGAACTTTATTACTGGAATTTCATGGAATGACTTGAGGTAAAATTACTTGTTCACTTATTCAATACCAAAATCAAATTAAGTTTGATGTAATCCATAAATTTCTTTTTCTCTCTATCTGTTGAATGAATGTAAACTCGAGACTTATCAGCAGAATACCATGCTATGATGATATATTGACTGATTCTTGAAAACTTTAGCTGCATTAAGCTGGATTTTATAGTCAGGCATATCTTTAAAAGGGTTTATCAAGCTGCTATATTTTGTTTCCGATATCTTCCTTTCCTTTCCGGAGGGGAGCCTTGGTGTAATCGGTACATGTGACCTGGTGATCACGGGTTCAAGTCATGAAAGCAGTCTTTTGCAAAAATGCAAGGAAAGACTATGAACAACAGATCTTTTTCCGGACCTCACGCATAGCTGGAACGTTACGTTTCGGGCTGCCTTTTATCAATCTTTCTTTTACCGTTAGTACCGGTTAATGTGATTTAAACTATTTTAATAGCACCAGAGCTGAATATAATCAAGAAAGGGTTGAATCTTATTCATGAAACAGAAATGGAAATTTGAGTGGAGAATTCTGCAGTGCTTTTTTTTTTTTTTTGCCATTACCGTGCAATCCATGCTGCTCTCAAGCTCGGACTTCCCATGCTCCACTGTTGCAAACTGCATGGACAGCTAAAATGGGCATTTATTGTCTCATCTCAGTATTTACAGCATAGTTCAGTTTTAGCACAAATAAATTATATTAATATCATTTGCCCGCATTAAGGTAATACCAAATATAAACAGTTCATAGTTCAGATATATAATTAATGTATTTTAGCAAGTGTTTAAAATTTAACAACTTCTTGACATAACATCGAACTGATGGCCTGATTTTTATGGAAACATATATTTCACTTTGGTAGTCTATTTCAGTAAAATTTTAGTACAGTAACTTTTCTTTGGCTAGGTGAATCAAAATATATTTATGGAGGAGGATTTCTTACAAAGAGAATTTATCGGAGAAGTTATGACTTCTTAGAAAAGTTGGGTGATTATGCCTTATCGAGGAAGGAGTTAAAAATTTATACCATGAAAAAGTAAGCAAATAGGATTTTATAATAATGACATTGGGTCAATGACTAAACATAAAGTAATCGACTAGGCTTAAAGTAATGTTAATAAAGTAGCTTTAACAAAATAAATGTAAGATTCCTTTTGTTTTATCAAAGTAACTTTAGAAAAGTAAACTTGACTTGAGTATGACTTAAAGCACGATCTGACAAATAATAAAGTAAACATAAAGTTGACACCAAATTTGATGTTGACAAAAGCAAAACCTGATGTACCATTATCTCATCTTGGGGTCTTTGGAGGAATCTTTATCACGCATAATTAGACATAATTGGACTGGAATATGGGGTTTTCTTTTTGCTTCAAGACCATGACTGAATTTTTGACTGGATTAGCATTATTTGGGAAAATCTTCAAGGTATTGGATGGATAAACAGTTGTTTACCCATTGAAATAACTCTTTTTCTAAATTTGTAAGGTCCTTGTCACAATTTTGAAATAGCTGACTATACATTTTATGTTCAAAATTTTCTTTTATTTGTGAAACGTCTTCTGGGTTCTACCAGTAAGGATTTGTTAGGAGTTGGGCTAATTCAATTGGACTATAGAGGTCAAAGTTTACCAGTCTTGAGATAAGTCACTTCACCAGTTATTGAAGGGAGACTCAAGAGTCCATTTATCAAGGTGATTGTATAACTTTTATATGTATTTTGGAAGATACCAGCACCATGATTCTCTTTTTGAGGAAGTTCTTCAGGGATTGAAGAGATATAGTTGATCTTATAGAGTTTTTTGAGCAAGAGTTTGTACTCATTAGAATATAAAAATATTGATTTGTATAAGGAGTACAAATTACGTACGTAGATATCTGAGTGTTGTTGGAAAATGGCAAAACATCATCTCCTATTTGGTACGGTTTATGGAACATAAAGATGATATGATAGTGCATTGGAATATGTTTTGGTGTATTAGAACCAATTGTTCAATGTTTTGAACAATTTTAGAAATTTTCCAAGTGCAATATCTTTTGTGTCTAGGTACTCTTGATTGGTTAGGACAAAAGTTACCCATTGAAGGTTTGAGACTCTAAATTCAATGACAATAATGTAAAGTTGGCAAAGATACCACAAAAGAATTAAGGTTTCTATGAACAATCTGGCTATATAGAGATTTGGAAAAGGTAAAGGAAATGGTATTTAGGATGTAGTTCAATGGGTTTGATACCATGGTCAACTCTTTTTTTGATAAATATGGCTTGCATCTTGAAAATGAGATCTTTTGCACTATTGTCAATAGTCTTTTGTGCAATTATTTGTGGACCTCAAGAGGAATATTATATATTGGAAACACAGGTTTGAAGTTTTTATTAGGGAAAATGTTTTTATAGCTTGGGCAAGGATCTATTTGTGGAGGATAAATAAAAGAGTTCTTTAAAGATGAGGCTTATGAGGAAGAAGGTAAGGGTGAGGGATTCATCATTGAGATTACTGAAATAATCTTCAAAGAACTCAAAGAAAGTCTTAGAGAAGGTCTGGATAACATATATGGGAGAACATTATCCTTTTCTTTTATATGTGTTATGGTGAAAGAGTACTTTAAAATCATTGAGAGACTCTGAGTAATTGTGCATATGGCATCTGTTTTTTTTCTTGAAACTGAGCATCTGGTCAAAAGCTGACATGTCTAGTTCTATAAGAAAGTGGTATCCAATAAGATGAAAATCAAATCTTTTGATTTCATATTTCACTACTAAAATTTATTTTAGCGTAAAGTGGTAATAGATTTTTGCATATTTGAATATGCCATTTTGTATCCACATATCTATATGGTTTTATCTTTTTCTGTGATAAGGATTGCTGACCAAAATTTGTTACTTGTATCTGTCTGCAATATCCTTTTGTCATGTAAGAGAATATTTAAAGTTGAAAGTGATTGTGCTCTTATCTTCAGCATTTGTACTAACTTTGTTTGTTTATGAGACCACTGGGGTGGTTATTTCTTCAGCATTTGTCTAAGAAGATAAGTTATTAAGCAAGGTCTAAGAGAAATTCACTCATATAGTTGACTACAATGAGAAATTATTGTACTTATTTCTTGGAGAGATTTTTATTAGAGAAATCTTCAAATGTCTTAGCAATGTGAAGTTGGGCAATGTATTAATCATTTTTCAAATGCATTCCTAAGAAATTAATTTTTGAGGCACCACTAATCATTTTTATTCTAAGAGCATTATCCTATATTGTTGGATAATTATCTAAAATTTATCCGATAACTGTACATAAGATGTGACATCTAGAGAGAACGTAAGATACCATCAATGCAAATGAGTGCATTATTAAGAATGAGAGTAAAAATCTTTGTCATTGCTTTTTGGAACAGTGAAGGAATAACTTTTAAACCAAAAGGCATAACTGTCCACTAAAAATGGTGTTGAGGGATGTAAAACAGCATTTTGTATCTATTTTGTGGATGTATATTTAATTGCCAAAATCTTGCCTTGAGGCCAAACTTTGAGAAAACTTTTACCTGTGACAGATTTGAGAAAATGACTTTCTGTTGGGGATAAAAAATTTATCATCTGCAAGGAAAAACATTAAGAGGTTTATAATTAATCACTAATATTAATTTTTCACGAATTTGTTTCGATCTTTTATTGACATAGAATGCTTTATACGCCCATAGAGAAGAGGTTGGTTCAATTAATCCTTAAACTTGAAGTTGTGAACATTTTTGACTTGTCAGCTTCAAATGATCTGGATTCATTTCTGAGTGACTAGCTTTTGTGGGGTTGGCATTCTCATCTTTCTTAAAAAAAAAGAAAATGGTGAATTCAGAGTTTTGCCAAAATATGTTTTTGCATTTCTGAAAGAATTTTAAATGATTTTGTGCACATGAAATCTGAATAAATTTCTATTTGAATTCCTAGAATAAGTTTACTTGGATTGTGAAAAGGTTTGAAAGGTTTTTCCAAGCTTGAAAATAACTTTCAAATTTGATGCCTTTTTCATTAAGTCTTAAACATGGTATATTGGTAATAACATTGAAACCAATAACTAGGTCTTTTATTGGAAGTGATGATTCTAAAATTCTTTGGGTTATTTGACAACTTGAAAATATTCGAAGGGTAATAGGGTTGTTGATAAAATCTGTAAAGAATACATTCTCATCATTAGTTTTGAAGAAGTTTTTTTGTTTTTTCCAAAGGGTTTATGGTAAGACAATGGGATTGGCTATGTTTTGGGTAGCACTTGTGTCAAAGAAAGCTGTAACAGTAATGGAAGAAGAGTGTTTGTGGGTAAAGATCTATACTAAGGCTAAAAGCATTTTTGAAGGTTAAAGGGTTTGAATTTTTTGGAGTTATTAGATCGACATGTACTCAAAATATTAATCATTTAAATAATCATTTATGTTTGAGTTTGAGCTATTATCATACTACTTAATCATAAACAATGCTCTTTTCATCTGTTCATCATCAAAGAATAAGACTGATTTGAGGTCATCATCTGAAAGATTAATACGAGAGATATTAGCAGTATCCTATATTATCGTTACTATTTTTTTGTCTAACTTAAGGTACCATAAAAAAAAACATTTGTTTCTTTTATGCTTTGAGTCTTTTCTTTTTGCCAAACTTGAATTTTTAGAATCTTTTAGGCTTTTTTGTAGGTCTGAACAGCTTTTTGTGTCTGAAAAAGTAAGGCTTTCTAAAAGGTTTGATTTTTTTAAAATGTTTCTTTTTTTTGTGATTGCAAAAACATGTAGAATCTTTTGAAGAAAATTTGATTTGTAATCCTGATAATGAGTAAGAACATGGTTTTTTTTAACTTTCTGGAGCTGTTCACCAAGTTTGCAATGTATCTGTGCTATTTGTAAATCTTATCAAGGGCTTTTATCATCATCTTATAGATATCACCAAGATTCATGATTCTAACATCAAAGAATCTTAGGTTGAGTTGAGTTCTTGTTTGTTAAGCAAGTTCTTTTAGAATAGAATTAATAAAAGCTTGCTTCAGGTTGACATCATCAAATTCACCAAGTATATAAAAATACTAAAATAATTATTGGTAATGTCTATCAAGATCTTTTAGATGAAGTGAATAGCATTTAAGCTTGAAAAATTGTTCTCTGACTTTTTCCAATTTGTGGGTTTCTTCACCATAAAATATTGCTAAACACTAGGATACAGCTTCGTGATTATTGGGCATTAGAGAAACTATAGTTATTTGTATTCACTAATTTATCTTAAAAATTTTTAAAAGTTCTAACCAGTCTTAAAATAAATCTGATTAAAATTGTATTCATTGTAACATTAGGATTGGAGTTTAATTCAACAAGTCCCTATGCTAAAAATTCTTAGAATCTCAAGAGCCATTTGAAAGAAGGAATATCATCAATTATGAAAATAAAAAACTTTGATGTGAAAGAAGGAACATGTGTCTGTGTTAGAGGAAGTTATTGTTTAGCATCTATTGCATCAGAGTTGTGCACTTCTAAGTTATCTTCTGAAACTAC